TAAGAAGGAAAAGGTGACTTTCAGTGTTAAAGTTGTTCTCTCTGCTGAAGAGTTAGGCTCTACCTCTGCCTCTACTGAGGACTCCTGCCCGGAGGAGTCAGAGATGAGAGCATCTCTACATATATTGTATGTCCCTGATCTTCTCTGTAGGTGAGTTGAGATTTGAGGATCTGATTTGTAGAAGACCTGGAACTATAATATAATTCACCAATATGCTAAAAAGATCACATGCCAGGAGAAGGCACTATCAACCAGTGAACACTTTGGGTCTTACTTACATCTGTGTTTCAGTTACTCATTCATGAAACATGGGAAAAAAAACCCGATATCATGCCACCTTACACTGTGCGTAAAAAGTCCACTAATGTGAAAATCCTGATGGACAATCACCAGGACAAAACTAATAGTAAGGTTCTGTCACTAAACTTATCATTAATAGACTTTCCTGGTTTAATTATACTTTTTACATGGTGTAGGCAAGTCTGTGGCTCAGTTTCTCATTTGTTAAGTAGAAAAGCACTTTCCTTCACAGAGCTTTTACAAGAACAAGCCCATGCTTGAGATTATGAGGGACTCCGATACTATGATGATGCTGGACATACTCAAGCAGGAAACATGGTCACGTACACACTATGGTAGCTAAAGGAAGAGCTTAAAGTTTTCAGGACCAGGAATTTAATCCGAAATTTTACCCACATATTTTTCCTTTGACTTATGTGTAGCACTAAAGAATGAAAAAGTAATGCAGGAAAGTGGCAAAAAGCCAAATAAGGCATGTGTTGTTTTCTTGGTGTTCATGTCTAATATACAATACTCATTAGCATACAATTCCTGCCAGTAAGTCTACATTGAGCAGATGGACATAAGCAGAGTTTGTGAATGGATATTAAGATACAATAGCTCCTGCCTTAAGGGTCACACCATTCCAGTTATACTGAAGCCTTTTACCTGTCGCTGGAAGGATTTGTGCACAGTTAATTCTTCCTGAGAATCCACAATGGTTTCTCCCAGCAAATACTACATACACTGACAAAACCTAAATCTAGCAAACTACTTATGCCACTTACTAGACTAACTGGGGAACTGAAGGTCTCTTCTCCCAAAAAGCGTTCATACTCAAAAAACCCCAGACTTCGTCAAGAAAATGTCTCTAAAACATTTCAGCCACCTCTAACATACATCTCCATTAACTCAGTAAGACTTTTTTATCAAATACATGGGTCCCCTGTACAGTCTTATTTATTAAGCATTTCCACCTTAGAAATCCAGCACTGGACTGTCACAGCCAAGTGCATACCCTCTCCCACCCAGAATGGCAATCGAACTGCTGGCGTCAGGACTGAACATTTCTGCAAAATACAGAGTGCTTTAACTCTGCACCTTTCCACCAACTCGAAATAATCATAGCTACAAAGTTCCTGCCTCCCATCTCTCAGTTTTGCCATCCTTTGCCCATAGATCGGCTGCCTGTACTCTGTCAGGTGCATTGATTTGTCTTCCATGCCAGTGGTCAACCAGGGAACAGGTCTGCCAACGGGGAGGGCAAAGGGTGGCCTCCGAACCCTCCCCCTTGGCACGGTCTGGGGGCCAAGGAGCTGCCAGGGCCCTTTCCCGCCACCCACCATTTACCTGGAGCAGGTGGTGGGCCGCCAGGTATCCCAGACGCGGGCCTCCCTGCACTCCGGGCGGCAGTCGCCCCGTGCCGTAGCCGTGCCAGGCCACCACGTAGGGGTTGTCCATGGTCAGCCAGTAGCGCACCTGCCCGCCGAAGTGCCGGAAACAGAGCTCGGCGTAGTCGTGGAAGAGCTGGGGCAGGACGGGGCTGGCCCAGCCTCCGAAGGCGTCCTGCAGGGCCTGTGGCAGGTCCCAGTGGTACAGGGTGACGACGGGCTCGACGCCCACCTCCCGCAGGCGGAGCAGCAGCCGCCGGTAGTGCGCCAGCCCGGCGGGGTTGGCGGGCGCCGTCCCGTTGGGCAGCAGCCGGGACCAGGACAGCGAGAAGCGGTAGTGGGAGACCCCCAGGCGCCGCAGCCCCTCGACGTCGCGGAAGACGTTGTTGTAGCTGTCGCTGGCCACGTCGCCGCCCACGGGCCCCAGCGGGGCGGCCCCCGGCGGCGTGGCCGGGCGGTGGGCGAAGGCGTCCCAGACGGAGGCGCCCTTGCCCCCCTGGCGCCAGCCGCCCTCTGTCTGGTAGGCGGCGCTGCCCGCGCCCCACAGGAAGCCGTCGGGGAAGGTGTCGTGGAGGAAAAGCTGGTCTTGCGGGTAGGGCAGCCGGGCGAAGCGGGACCAGGTCCCCGTGCCCTGCCCCGGCGCCCCCCGTCCCGGCCGCCCCAGTAGCAGGAGCAGGAGCACGGGCAGCAGCGGCGCGGCGAGGGCCATGCTCCCGGCGGGGCTCCGCGACGGCAGTGCCCGCCTCCCACCTCCTCGCCGTCCCATTTTATCTCACCTCGCCCCCCCCCATCCCCCACGCCCCGGTGGGCACGGCCATTAATAATTACCTCGGAGCTGCTGCCTGCATCCTTCCCGGCCGGTTCCATCGGGGAGAGCTGCCGCCGGGCAGGAGATAGGGGGTGAGACGGGGCGGGCGGGAAGGAAAGGGGAGGGAAGCGGGGCGTGGGATCTTCGGGGAGAGGTGGACCCTCTCTTGCCCTCGGGTTCGCCTCTGTGTGCCCCCATGGCCTTTAGGGTGAAGATTCCCGTCCGCGGGCGGCAGGCGCAGCCCCGCAGCCTTTCGCCTGCCCCGCCGGGCGCCCGCACCTCCCTGTGGCTCCTGTGACCCCTCGGAGGAGGGACCCTCGCCGCTGCCCTGCACCCTTTCCCTGAAATGGCTTTTCGGAGGAGCCCGCGGAAAGACTCGACGGCCGGATCCGTCCTCTCTGAGGGGCTGAGCGTAGCCCCCTCCCGTCCCCCCCTGCAGTGCCGCCGTCGGGGGGTCTGGGGTCCCTGCGCCGGGCTAAGGGGAGGGAGCGATTCGTGGGGCCGGAGGGAAGAGGCGAGGAAATAAAAACGATTTTCCCTTCACTCAGTATTTCCGTCGTGCTTCCTTGGCAAGACACATGGCACTTGCAATCTCATGTAACAGTAGTTGCAGAGAAACTCGTTGTCCAAGGACATCATACGCTCACTCCTCCCCGCCCCCTCCCCGGGAATTCATGGGCTGTCACCTCCCAGTAACAACACTTTTCTTTCTAGGAGTAGGAGCTTGGTGTATTTGGTTGCTTACTGCACACAAAACAAATTCCAATTAGAAATGCCTCACGGATCTTTACCGGGAGGAAGCAGATCGAGCTAAGTTTGCTTACTGAGTTACGCTTCTTAAGTTACAATTGAGCTCTTGAAAGGAAGGTCTCCAACTGCCATTTTCGTCTCCTTAGGACAAAACAGTTCAATCAGGACTACGAAGCAAGAAATAGCCCTACGCATTGCAAAACCTGGTATTCAATTGTGTGAACTCAGTATGTTTTGGGACATCTAAGAGTAAAACATCTACTAGACAGGCTGTTAGGGTCAGGGAGATGTTCCCAGGAGATAAAGCTGTTGTTTAACTACAGAATCAAGGCATTTAGATAATTTCATTTTATTTTTAGAAAATAAATGCCCTCGGGGGAAAATTACAGGTAATTGCTAATAATGAGTCGATGGATTTAAATGCCGGTTGTGATCTGACAAAGGTTTCTTCTAGTGCACAGAATGGGCTATCATCCCTCTTACGTGCAGACAGGGCATTTGCCATGCCTGTTTCTACAACTTCCATCTTTTCTGCACTGATACAGATCAGTTTTGGGGATTGATTTTTGCTGTTTTTAAAGAAGAGACCAAAGAAGAAGCAGGCAGGATTGGAGTTAGTCTTCCATTGCTGGTAATTATTTAATTGCTCTGTTAGAGGGATGGAGGTCTGAACAGTCCAGGGGACCATCAACACCCCTTCCCTAAGGGAGGAAGTTTGTGGGGTGGGAACAGGGGGCAGGCCCAGAACAGGCCCAGAACCAAGGCTGGTCATTGTCTGCCAAGAGTAAGTTTGGGATACACTCTGACAAAGTGCTGAAATACAATTACAGCAAATTACTTCAGTTATGACAACAGAGCTGCAGCAACAGAAAAAGGTGTTTAGCATCACCCGCTAGTTACTTGCAGAAGCTGGAGGTTAGTTGTTAAATGCACAGGGGCATTGCTGCAGTTGTCTGTTAGCAAGGAGCAAAGAGCCAGGTTCCTGTTCAGCTACAGACCTGATTTCAGGGGAAGTGTAATGCCTTCACTGGATCTCTCTGCCAAAGTATCTTAAAAGTTGGGATGTAGAGGCATGTCTCAGAAATACCACAGCCTAAAATAGGGTATTAGTGATGCTAAGTCCATTGATAATATTTAAGGAAAAAAACCTCATTGGGTCTCTAGGGACAAAAAAGATTTTGAGATACATCTTGATTCTCTTTTCATATGCTAATTGTTAGCTAAAACCTACATCAATCCTGTTTGTACTAGGGCAGCCCCAATAAGTAGGCACTTAGCTGAAGCTCCTTCATTAGGAGCTTGTTTTTTCCAGAGCCTGTCAACAGTCAAAAGAAAGAAATAGCCTCATGGTGTTACTCTAAGTCAGTCTAGCCAAGATGTTTGTCAGCTTCTGGAAAAGGCTACCTTCTTCAAAAACTGTCCAGGAAGCCTAAAGTGACTGCGCTTCTGATGCAAGTAGCCCATTTTTGAGGGACAAAATCTAACCATAAGTTGCTGGCGTAATGTTGTCACTTCACCTGCATGTCTGCTGGATGAAAACTTTTTTTTGTTCATTTGAGGGTTTTTTTAGTGTAAATGACAGAAAATGTACAATGTGGCTTCCAATTGCTTATGGTTTTTTCTTACAAAGAAAGCTTGATTTTGTGTTTTAGGACAACACAATCACTCACTGCTCTGAGTCAATATATTTTTTTCTAACACATAGCCTAACAAATTGTTCAATATTAACCATGCAGAAAGGTCAGCCAAACACTTGCAGACATCCGTCTCCCTCACTGCTCCTCGAGTTCAAAGCGTGGCTCCACTGGGTCTATCTTGCTGAGCAAGCACAATTCGAACTCTGTGCCAGGTAAGCAGATCAAGATTTGACTTTCAGCCTCTTTGTATTGGTGATTACTGAACACTCAACTTTTGATAATACATGAGTGTCAATATAATTTTCCTTCAGGCTGTGCTGAGATTTTCTTTGCTAGGTATGCAGTCAGTGCATGCAATCAAATTTGGCAGTGTTCTAACTGAGCATTTCTGTTTCTATCCCTAAGAGCTTGAATCTTCTGGGATACTTAATTCTAGGTAAAATAACTCTATTTCTGCTTTAGATTCGTTTAACTGTTTTCTCTGAGGCCATATCATGCGCTGGCTTCAATGCAGCAAACCCATTCCTCATTTTAAAATCTCCACAGAAGAGCTAACAACCGTACACCAGTAGCATCTATCGTGGAACAAGTGGTCTCAGTGCCTAAAACCACCATCTTCTGTTTTAATGCCCCTTCTCTGTTCACCAGCATACTTCCAAATGGGTATAAACATACAGTCAGGTGAAAATAGCCTTGTGTAATAGATTTACAGTCTCAGCATTTCATCTCAAGACACAAAAGTTTTTGCTAACACTTGGGAAACCTTTTTAAAAAAATCACTGCCTGAATTAGACGAGCATTTTCTCTACTGCTTCCATCACTGCATAACAATACTCCTTCTTTATTCTGTCCCTTAAATGCAAAGTGCTAAGCTGTCAAATTGTACTTCCACTTGCTGATCAATAGGTGTTTCCAGTGGAAAGCTGTGCAACAGCATGCTAGATTTACCTTCTCATAATTATTTAGAGACAGCTAGTAACTGATTGTATTGAAATTAGAAACGTGGTGTTGTCAGGTCCAAAGCACACATGTTGGTGTAATGAATGCAGTGCTGAGGAATGCTTGGGAAGATGTTGAATTCTCCTCTCTTCCTCTCTTCTAGCCATAAGTACCAAATCACACTCATCTCCACTTTTTTTTTTTAGCTGGAAAGGGTGGTAGAGAGTTTCAAATGCCTTTCTTTGAATCATAGCCACTCTAGTCTTCTCCTGCTCTTTCAAGTATCATAAATTCTTTTTATCTCGTGAAGAACTCTGAATTAGTTCCCTTTTATTCTGTGGCAAGATCTAGTGTGAGGTGGGAAATTAGAAACCTAAACTGTAATTGTTTTCCATTTACCCTTTCGTAACTGTGTCTCCAAGAAGTAGACAAATCTTGAACATCCCCTTGTAGGAAAAGTGGAATTTGAAATACTTTGGCCCTTCTTACTTTTGAGGATAACGGGGAGTAACTTCAAGGCAAGCCTAGAAATTACTATTTTATTCACATGGGGCAGGAATGACAATCTGTAACCTGGGAGGGGTCACATACGGTGTCTGGATGTTTCCTTGTATGGGTGGCTGGGGCTGCAAAGCTTTCCAAGTCTTACAAACCCTCCATCAGGGGAACCAGTAAACACATGTCAAACCCTGAATCACGGAAAGTGATGGGAAAGGGAAGAAAGGTGAAACACCATCTTGGAAGGCCATTTGAAAATGAAATCTTATAAATGCTGTCTCATAATTCTGGGAGACCACAAACGCTTCCCATTACCCAGATGACAAGACAAGAGTTTGTAGATGATCTCCCTGTCTTCAAAAGTGCTTTCTTTATTGGTGAAAGAAGGATTGGGCAAACACAGAAGGGAAAAGAAACTGCCTCTCTCCTAAGAAGGGAGATAGTGAAGAGGCCTTGCTCTTCCTCTCCTGGGATGGAGACATGGGCTTGGCTGGCAAGAGGGGTCCAGAGCTGAAGGATAAGAGAAAGGACAGAAGAATGCTCCCTGCCAACTCCAGCCACGCAGCTCATGAGCCTGTGGCTCATGAGCTAAAATTGTGGTTTAGGCAGGAACCAAACCCTGGTTGCAGTGAATGAAGAAATGGACCTGTCTCCCCAAAGTCTGCTAAGTCTGTGTGAACAAGCAAAGGTGAGTGTCCAGGAAAGTTGCAGACCAAACAGGGAGTTGCCTAATCCATTTTGGCTCTTTAGGATAGAAAATCCTGGAATGCAGAGCAACTGGATCACTTAAAGGAGTGAAATAGAGTTGCACACCTGTGAAAATCCCAGTCTGTGGTCTCTGCTGCAGTATAAAAAGGACCAGAAAGATGGTTTCACTCTTCTCACTTCTGTTTTAATTTCTATTTGTGATACATTGTTATCACTTTGGAGCCAATTTCATTCAGTCACCACAGGATGGCTCGAAAACTTGAATCCTGTCTCTCAGTCCAGAGCTGACAAGCACTCTGGAGACACAAATAGTGACTTTTCATATACAGCCATCCTATCTCTTCAGTTCAGCCCCAGTTGAAGCATTTCCCGTCACTCTTCAAATTCCTAGTATTTTAAAACTTCTGCCAAAATGACACATCTTCTATGAAAAGAAAGATCCACATGGATTTAAATGAAGAAATAAAAAGCACTGCTATTAAAAAATGGAAATGCAATGCTGAGTTTTATGTACATGAAAGTTGAATCTTTTATCCATTAAATTCATTCAGGGAAGAACATGCTGCAAAATTACTTCTATCATCATATCTTTAGATTACTTTCTGTAGGTAAATTGATAAGAATGACTCCTGCTAAAATCATACATCAGGACAAGTTAGTATTTGCTAAATCTGTATTTCAATAAGCAGCTGAATGACACCTCAGTTCACATACTTATTTCTTGTTGGTTTCAGCTCATGAAAATATTGATCTCAATTTACTGCAAGGCAAAGACTGGCTTACAAAGAAATAGGAGTGGTTTAAAAACTGCTGTAGTGTGTTAATTCTTTGTAAGATTTTCTGCCTAAATGACTCTTCTACAGTTAAGACTTATATCACTTTAAACTGAACTGAGCTGAAGGTTTCTAAACTAGTAATTTAAAATACATTGCACTAAGCTGCTGAGACACTAAATGTACAGACAACATGGACTGCAAACACATAAACATTTTTCAGGGCTACAGGCATATGATGTTCTTTAATAAACACAACTATTATATTATACAAAATCAATTTTCACTGAACAGCAAAAACTTAGTCCTGTGTGAAGTGTGTAGCACTGAAATGTGATTTATAGTCACCTGAGAAGTCATTTAGTCTTTTAATGGTGCTTCATATTAACATAATGTACTTGGGAGCCATTTCCAGTTACTCTAGCAAGGCTGTACTCCTGTGTTTTCAAGATTGGCTCAAAACCATTAGGAAGTCAAGGCATTTATTACCAGAACAGTATGTATGCACAGTTTAGGGTTTATCTCTTCAAATGTGGTTGAGGAGTTGAACCGGATTAGGCTAAGATAGAGTATGCTACCACAGTTGAGACTTGAAAAGTAGATCTTCTAATAAAATAAAAAAATACCTTGACAATTATTGCAGCAAATTTCACCTCTGAGATATGAAAGCATAGATGCATGGACAGAAACCAAAGCATTTTGCATTAAGCATTTCTTCACAGCTTCTATCCAGAAGAATTCGTGCACTACTTCAAAAACTGAAAGTCTAATAATTTCCATGTTAAATAGGATCGCAGTTATGAAATTTAAAGTTTGTAGTTGAGCAACTAAGTAATGAGAAGCCTTTGGTCGGTTCATCACATGTTTTCTCTGCTGCTCCTTCATCTGCAGAGGGAAGCAGTCTTGTAGTTATACAAGGGCAATTGGATTACAGAGTAGGCTGCTGTGATTGCTGCTCATTGGGTAACTGAGTGAGAACCGAACATCTCTCGCTCCTCATTTCTCTGAGCTTTCCCCCTTTGTACACCTTTCTTACTACAAGTTATAGGCTGTGTCTGATAAGTGTTATTCTGTACAAGAGATAACGCATTACTAAGAGCTCTGAATTGTACTGTAATAAGGCCAGCAGTCTATACTTTTAAGCTATGTACTGGAACATAGCAACCCCTTGCTTGTTTCTTCTGGTTCTCTCCTCTTCATGTTTAGTGATCCTCTTAGTGCTCTGTACTTTATATCGAATTCTGTGTGCCCAACTTCTAGCTATTTCTTGAGTATTTCAATATCACTTCACTGAAGTGAGGCACAGGTTTGGCTACTCAGGAAGAGTTTAGGAATATAGTTAGGTCATGTAGAAAGAAAATTAGAGAGACGAAGCCACAACTTGAACTTAATCTTGCCACTTCTGTGAAGGATAACAAAAAGTCCTTCTACAGATACATCAATAGCAAAAGGAGGGGCAAAGAAAACCTCCATTCTTTATTGGACATTAGCGGGAATATAGTTATCAAAGATAAGGAAAAGGCTGAGTTATTTAACACCTTCTTTACCTCAGTTTTCAACAGTAAGACAGGTTGTCCTGAGGGCAGCTGGCTTCTGGAGCTTGTAGACAGAGATAAGAAGCTGAATAGCCCCCTTGTCATTATGGCTAGGCTTCACGAACGAAGAATTGGGAAAGGCTCTATCCACATTTGTTACAGGCACGCTGGTGGCTAATAAGGCCAACGCAAGATAGACATGTCCAATTGCAAAAGGCACAACAGAAAGACTCCTTAGGTGGTATATTCTGCAAGGCACGGTTCTTTCTGCGTTGTCTTTTCTCCTCAAGAGTGATCCTGCACGCATTCTCAAAGGAAACAGCAGCGTTATAGATGGTGTGTCTCCAGGCCTCCCGATTTGAGGCCAGAGTAGACCAGTTATGTTGATCAATATGGCCAAGGCTGAGATGTTGTTTCAGGGAGTCCTTGTATCTTTTCTTCGGGGCTCCTCTCTTGCAGCAGCTGGTGGCAAGTTCACCATAAAGCAAGAAACCCCCCTGTAATCCAGGAGGAAGCAGTTAGTAACCTGCTGAGCCACTTGGATCCCCACAAGTCTATGAGACCAGATGGGATCCATGCTAGGGTGATGAGGGAGCTGGCAGAAGAGCTCGCCAAGCCACTCTCCATCATTACCAACAGTCCTGGCTTGCTGGGGAGGTCCCAGATGATTGGAAGTTGGCGAATGTCCACAAAAAGGGCCAGAAGGAGGACCTGGGAAACTACAGGGCTGTCAGCCTGACCTCAGTGTCTGGCAAGGTTATGGAGCAGATCATCCTAAGTGCAATCACACAGCACCTACAGGATGGACAGGGGATCAGACCCAGCCAACACAGGTTTAGGAAGTGCAGGTCGTGTCTGACCAACCTGATCTCCTTTTATGAACAGGTCACCTGCCTGGTGGATGAGGGGAAGGCTGTGGATGTGGTCTACCTGGACTTCAGCAAAGCCTTTGACACTGTCTCCCACAGCAAACTCCTGGAAAAGCTGGCAGCCCACGGCTTGGACAGGGGCACTCTGTGCTGGGTTAGGAACTGGCTGGAGGGCTGGGCCCAGAGAGTGGTGGGGAATGGTGCTGCATCCAGTTGGCGGCTGGTCACTAGTGGTGTCCCCCAGGGATCAGTGTTGGGCCCAGTTCTATTTAATATCTTTATTGATGATTTAGATGAGGGGATTGAGTCCATCATCAGCAAATTTGCAGATGACACTGAGCCGGGGGGAAGTGTTGGTCAGCTGGAAGGCAGGAGGGCTCTGCAGAGGGACCTGGATAGGTTGGAGAGTTGGGCCGATTCCAATGGGATGAGGTTCAACAAGGAAGGCCAAGTGCCAGGTCCTGCACTTTGGCCACAACAACCCCACGCAGCGCTACAGGCTGGGGACAGAGTGTCTGGAGAGCAGTCAGAGAGGGACCTGGGAGTTTGGATTGACAGTAAGCTGAACATGAGCCAGCAGTGTGCCCAGGTGGCCAAGAAGGCCAATGGCATCCTGGCCTGTATCAGGAACAGCATGGCCAACAGGTCCAGGGAAGTGATTCTTCCCCTGTACTCATCACTGGTGAGGCCACACCTGGAGTACTGTGTCCAGTTCTGGGCCCCTGAGTTCAGGAAGGACATTGAGGTGCTTGAGCAAGTCCAGAGGAGAGCAACTAGGCTGGTGAAGGGACTCGAACACAAGTCCTGTGAGGAGAGGCTGAGGGAACTGGAGTTGTTCAGCCTGGAGAAAAGGAGGCTCAGGGGAGACCTCATCACTCTCTACAAACTACCTGAAAGGAGGTTGTAGCTAGGTGGGCATCAGTCTCTTCTCCCAGGCAGCTATCAGTAAGACCAGAGGGCATGGTCTTAAGCTGTGCCAGGGGAGGTTTAGTTTAGATATTAGGAAGAAATTCTTTACAGAGAGGGTAATCAGGCATTGGAATGGGCTGCCCAGGGAAGTGGTGGATTCTCTGTCCCTGGAGGTGTTTAAGAAGAGACTGGATGTGACACTTAGTGCCATGGTCTAGTAACCTCAGCGGTAGTGGATCAAGGGTTGGACTTGATGATCTCAGAGGTCCCTTCCAACCCAGCTGCTTCTATGATTCTATGATTCTGTGATTCTATGATTCTATGATTAACATATGACCTTGCTTAACCCACATCTGAAATCAAAGGAGGTTTACTTTTTTGAGCAATAAGATGGTCATCTCTTCCTTAGAGTGATATTAGAGAAAGAATAATATTTAGCAGTGTCAAGATCTTAATACTTCTTCCTGAGCAGGAGCTGGACAGTTTAGGTTATTGCTCTCTTTAAGTGATGGATCTTACAATCTCTTCTTTAGAACAAAACATCAGGGGCAAAACAGGAAACCATATGTGCTACCGCAGCCTTCAGTTCCGTGAGATTAAGTGTTTATGAGACTATTTTGAATGTTCTCAAGGTCAGTGATTAGATTTCCACCAGCCATTCTGATTCACCCTTACAGTGTATATCTGCAAATCAAAGAAGGATGAGCAATCTCATAAAGAAGGACAAGCTATGCAGCAAATATAATGTGGGTAGCTGAAGGTAGGAGTAACAAAAATGCCACAATGATTAACCAACACATGTTGGCACACCTCCTCATCCAGCAGGTAACTTCAGAAAATATTGGTATGTGAGGGATTCTAAGGAAAAAAGTGTTTGGTATGTCTGCTCGTTGG